CCCTTGCTCCCAAAGGGATGAGACCAGTGGAGTATCTTAGATGGCCGCTCACAGGCTTTTAAGACCCCAGACACTACTCACCAAGGAGGAATGTAGAACATTGTCCTCATAAACTGTGTTACGCCAATTGAGCTAGATGTTTCCTGAGACCATGGTCCCCACAGCCCTCCGCAAAACTGGGCTTCTTTTTACTGGCTAATTCTATTAGGACTTTTTTGTAGTTAGTTAAGCTCTTTTCTGTTCCCCTCTTTACTGAGTTAAAAAAAAAAAAAAATTCAGTATAGCAGGATATGAAACTAAACAAACAAGCAAATAATAAATTTAAAAGAAAGAGAGGAAGAAATAAGCAGAGTGGAAAACTGTGTGTTGGCAAGTGTTTCTCTATGCTTGTAAAAGCTGAAAGTTGAAGGGTGTAAATCCTCCTTCTTCCAGGGCAGGAAACATCCGTGAGAACAGGGTTTGCTGACTGGGAAGCTTCTGAGTTTTTCTCCATGGAATTACTCAGTCAGGTCCTGTGCCACAGCTGGCTCCCCTCACCTGGGTTCCATGTGCCAGGTAGAGAACTGGCCACTGGTTTGAGCTGAATTGCTGCTTTGTCTAAAACCCGGAGTTCTCGTTTTACTGTATAGCTTTTTTTATATTCTTCCTTAGTCATATCTAGATTTGGAAGTTTGAGAATGATTTTTTTGAAATATCCTTGGCATCAGGGCTCTGGCCACATGCCAGGCTATTCATGCAATCATATTAAAAAGGGAAATGTGAAGTTGGGCAGCCATTTTCTTTGCTCATAGACTGTTGGTTACTTGATTTGATTCTTTCCCATTACTGAAGTGACTCTGTCAACCAGGAAAGTCAACTAGGGAAGCTCCAGGCTGGTGAGAAAGGTATAGGGAGCCAGCTATGTACATGGCCCCCTGCATGAAGGCGGTTGACAAGACACGCACAATGATTCATGTACAAAGGACTTTTGGAATTAAAAATTGGTATTTTTGCTTCATTCTGAGGGTCCCTGGTCTTCATGAGGCCCTATGTCCCATTTAACAAAATTTAAGTCTTCTAAAACCTTCTTTTAATGGCAGTAGATTTCAGTGTGTCTTGATCTTTTTCTTCTATACTCCTTCTGGCTTACTGACTTAATTGAAAGCCTTACTAGCTTCATGTCTCAGGAACCCTCTCAATCAGGGGCCCTTTTCGACACCCTCTCTCACAGCTTCTGGAAATAGATATACAGGGCTTTCCATTCTGGCTGTTTATTTATTTCTGTCATTCAGTGATTGTGTCCTCTTTGGTATCTGTCTCTCTGGTTATACCACTCCTCTCTGCCCTCACTGTTAACAGTTACCAAACTGTAGGCGACTTCGCTGTAACCGGTTGCCATCGAGTCGATTCCAACTCATAGTGACCCGATAGAACAGAGTAGAACTGCCCCATAGGGTTTCCAAGGAGCAGCTGGTGGATTTGAACT